AATCTATTTAATTCACAATGAAAAGTGACATAAATTAACCAAATTAAAATTAATCTATTTAATTCACAACGAAAAGTGACATAAACTAAGTTTTCCTTAAAAAAGGGTAATCTTTTGCCCTTTAGTTAAAGGGGCTAATCCGTTACCCTAATAAATTGGAGGGCATAATTTTTATCTTAATAAGCAAAGGGACTTAAATCAAATAACTTAACAAATTAAGGTTTTAAGCATTAATTTTGCCAAGAAAAATAAAATATCTTTCTTCTTCGGATGCCCTGCCATCTCTCTGCCCTGACAATAAAAGTTACCGAACGATGCCGCCCAAACTTTATGTATGTCCCCGCATGTCGCAAGTTCCTTCTTTCGGATATGTAGTGGTTCGTGGTTGATTTATTTGAAACTTTATCTGGCTTTGCGGAAAGCTGTTTCCTCTCCTCTGATTGTTTTTTTTAAAAAATAAAAAATAAAAAACAAAGGAAAAAACAAACAAACAAAGAAATAAATGGTATAACCCTTGGTGGTTTAATGGTCACCCCTTGAATATGTGTGGTGAATATAATGGTTTGGGATCACTCAAATGTATTTTGTAATCATTAAAATTATAGGTACAACAAAGTCATGCAAACTAATTAGCAAATATAGGTACTCATTTGCAACAGTGAATCATCCACTCATTATAACATCCAAGATCTTCTCTTGCACGGCTTCATAATAGAAACTAGCTACATAGTTCTTGTTATCTCAATGTCTTTATTACTTTAAAGACATGAGAGAATTGTTTGCACTTTCAAGATCCATATTGATTTTGAGCTAATGTATGAAAATAGTTATTTAAATTTTATAAAAGAGTTATTGAACTTATCTAGTGAGTCGTTGATTCATTCTTGCTCAACTTTTTTGTTAAATCATGTAAAGTTGTGCAAATAGCGATGCTTTAGGAATTCCAACACTCAACACATGTTTTCTTCTATTAGGCTTAGGCTCCTCATAACAACGAACCTATTCAAACACAACTTTTGTACTACACATAGTGATGTTTTCTTCCTTAACCTCACCATGAGAAACCCTTATCAAAGGAAATTTGATCATATGTGGTGAACAGGATCTCACAATGGAGTTAAAGCTATGCCAAGAAAGTAGATTGTAGCATTAATGTTTAAGGCCAGAAAAGATCCGATCTTCAAAGGACTCTTGGTGATTTGAATTTGAATGGTTTAAACCAAATAAAAGGTTAATCGTGGTATGTAGCAAATGTTGCCAACGTTGGCAGTTGTATAGAAAAGTTCTACTCAATGTGACTTCTATGTTAGTTCATGATAAAGAAATGTTTGTTCTTTTGCTAAACTTCTAAGTTGTATGCATCTTTTTTCAATCGACGTTCTTTATAATCTCTATCGTCCCTTTCTTTCTTAGACCTTCGCTTCCAACTTTCCTATATAGTTTTGGTATTCTTCAATACCTTTTATGCTTCACTAATTGCTTGCAACTATTTCCTTTACTCAAATATATCCTTCTATTTTTTTTTTTAACAAATCAATAAAGCTAGTCGTCACATGTTTATTCAAAGATTTGTAAAATCTAGAATCTTACAAATCGCCTATCAAAGTCTAAATTTTTTACTTGCACAACTTCATTGTGTAAATGAGCTATCTAGCCATGTCGTGAACCAAGCATGCATAGCTTTCCTGAAAGTTGCGAGAAATGTATCTTGAGTTCCATTGTATTTTGCTAACTGCAAAGCTTTGAAGTTTAGCAGCACAAGTTCTCTAATAACTCCATCAGCGAAAGCTTTTTCCATTGAAGTTGTGTATGTTGCCTTTGGATGTCAACTTGCCTTTACCTTTTCCACTTACTAATGCAGTGCATCTATTTCTCTATATATATGTTATTGTTTGTTGGAACAAATTGCTTGAGATTTTGGTTAACCAACTATAAGATTAAGAAATTAATGGAATAAAAAAATAAAAAAATGCACCACCACAAGAAAGACAGAATTGATGTAGTTCAACTCCAATTTAATTGAGCGTATGTCCATGGGCACTCACAAGAAAAAATTCACTATTAAAAATAGGGAGAAACAATTTGTGACACTCTCAGAAAAATGCCCAATCCCCAATTACACCCAAATCTTACTCACAGTATTTTTGAATGCGAGACACACTCAAAAAACACACTCAGGAAAGTAATTTTAACCACTCTGCTCTTGCTCACCCTCACCCAAAGCACTCACAAAACTCTTGTATTTTCTAGAGCTCATTTTGCTTTGGATTGCTCTCTTGGTGTGATTTGCCGAATGGCCAAATGGCATTTTATAGCCGAATGGCCAAATGGCCTTTTATAGCCAAATGCCAGCCACCACAGTGAATGCAATGGGCTCCAAAGTCATAATCCAACCATGCACAATAAATGTTGCATGGACAAAGTTGCAGCAACCAAATTTCCATTTCAAAGGCTGCCATGAGACTTCCAATTTTTCAACAAAATTGAGCTGCCATGAGATTTCCCATGCAACCAAATTTCAAAGGCTGAAATTTGCATGCTTTTTCAACCACCATACAGAACGCACATGCCGCAACAATTATAAACTTGCATGCCACCGTTTATTAGGTGTGCTAGTATAGAAGTTGTGCCATATATCCATGGTACAACTATTCCTGCATTCATATAAGAGTTAGTCATCATATTTTCTGTTGTACCATGATTTTGATTATTACAAAACGCATTTGAGTGACTAATTGGTTCATTTAAATGCGTAGTTAAATGGCTAAAAGATTGCAAAAGTAAGTGAACTTGTATTGCACTAAAAAGGACCAAAAATGCTGAAAATGTGCAAAGAGCCAGCTTAAATAATTTGTAGCTAGCTGTGGGAAATGCAGAGAGCTAACTCTACGGGTGAAAATTTGAAGTCCGTTGTTTGGCACGCGTGGAAAACAGATGCAAAGCTGGCTTTGACTTTGCAACTAGTTGTGAAGGCACATTTAATACACAATGTTTGAGTTATTTGAAGATTATTTAATGTTTTTTAAAGTTAGAATCCCAAAGTCGGCTTTAGACTTTACAGCCGGTTGTATAAGAAAACAGAATGTGCAGGAAGCCCGCAAAGTCGGCTGCCTAATTTTTAAGCTGGCTTTATGAAGAAAACAAAATGCAGGTAACTCGCAAAACCGACTATAGAAAAGTTAAGCTGGCTATTCAAAGCCGGCTCTATAAGTGTAAGTCGGCTATATTGACAATTTTGCAACTCGAATTAAGCAACCTGTAGAGCATTAAATGACCCCCATCAGCTAGTAACGGCTATTTTCGACCATGGGGCTATAAATATGGTTGGTAACAAAACTAGAACAAGTTTGGAGAGCATTATATTGAATATCTCTACCTACCAACTTATGCTTTAACTTGAGTTTTTGATCTTTGAGAGATCTTTACTTGTAATCCTCTTCTTATTCCATTAGTGTATGTTCTTAGGGGTGTGATTATTCCTTCAAGAGTGATTTATAGAGAGGATTCTTGGGGTTTAAATGTAAAGGGGTGAGATTTGAGAGAACACCTTTTTCTTATAAAAGGATTGAGTGGCTCCTTTAAGCCACCATTGTTTTTCTCAGTAGAGAGTGTGGAGGAAATCCTTGGTGAGTGAAGCCAAGGTAAAGGATTAAACTCCAAGTGGTTGGACCGAACCTCTATAAAATTATTGTGCAAGGTCTTCTTTTCTACTATCTCTTTAATTTTTGTTTGGTGGTTGCAAAGAGGTGAAAATTTTTCAACTCCAATTCACCCCCCTCTTGTAGTGCATTAAGTCAACATTTTGATCATGAAAATTATACCTAGTAAAGGTGGAGGATGGTTGTAGATCTGTATCAATAGTTGACTCGTTGATCTTAAAGGCACATAGCTTTGGTTATTATAATCATTGCTTTCCCTCTTTAAATTTTATGCTTCATGAAAAAGTTGTCAAGTCCTTCTAGTTGAAGGTGGTGAAACGCTCTGTGACTCCTCCTGTCTCTGACACAATTGTCTTGAATCTTACGTTAGAATATTCACAACATTTGCTAAAGATATCACAACTTAATTGCTCACAAACTATGCCTTGTATCCACTATATCCTGCTCAAGCCTCCTAACTTGAGATGCCAATGACAAATCTCTCAATGTAGCTCCATTAAGTGCACCTCCAAATTTGGTTTTTGATGAAAAGAGACTTGTTATCGTCTTCATCAAATTTAGATCTTGGGGCATCCATGAATAGCAATGGCAAATCCTTGTTGCCAAAATTTTCCATGTAGTGTTTGCAGATCAAAAAGAACTTGGGCCCACAATGTGTGTCCAATGTTAACACTAAAAAATAAAAAGATTGTGTGCAACCAAATACTTTATTAATCAAAGATGGAGAGTGCTTACAATAGAGAAAAAATGAAGAAAAATAATCCTTTTCCTAGGCCTAGCATTGGAGTATTTATTGGATATTATATAGAATCATTCTAAGATTACACTTCTAATTGGGTTGGTGTTAGGTATTTTAGTTTTAGTGGGATTTAGCCTATCTAATCTTAATAGAACTCTTCTAAAATGCCTCCATGTGTCCTAATTCTTATATGCTCAATTTAGAGAATAACATCTGGCTAATGATTTTAGTTTTCTAACTAGTTTCCTTTTCTTTGTAAAAATTTTATATTTAAGTTGCCAAACTTCTGAAAATGCT